TGAAGTGTAATTAATCTTGTATCCGCCAGGTGTTGACTATCCAAGCATAGAGTTGTGTTAACATTTTAAAATGTCACGCCGTCTACTTCGAACCCACTTCCCACTTCCCACAAGCTGAATGGCGTTGTTTTAGTTGACTTTTCATTTATTATTGCTCGACAGTTTTTAACAGGTAAATAAAATATTAAAATACGAACATGCCGTTTGTTAATCATTACTAACGAGAATGTAGACAATTGACACATATAAGAACGAATATGAACATTCGAAAACTAAATAAAAACATTTTATTTTAGTTAATTACAAAAGTACAAGGAAATTTCTAGTGAAATAGGACAAACTTACTTAAAGTTACAAATTGTTAAGAAGAAACGTAGGCTTTCGTACTCATTCCGTGTTACAATACAACATTTCTCAAACAGCCAGTCACGAAACGTTATTCTTCAATCAATTCCTATTGTAGCAGGAAACGACACCCTTAAATTGTGATGGTAAGGTAAAATAAACTTTAAAATAAACGAGTCAAATACTATATTTATTTGTAACGGAATGCTATTAAGGCTGTAGAAATTATTTCTCTCAAATACGATCTCACACTGAATTGCAACGGGAAAACTCAATGTGTCAACGAGTCTTAGTCACTGTAAACGATGTCAGATACTATTGCGTACTGGGTGCCGAAGTAAAACTCATGCTTTTTGTAGCTTTTCATGTAATTTGACGTGCGGGGAATTAGAAAAAAACAAAGCAAGTATTCTGTCAGACTGTTTTCTACAACTATGCCAAATTTCATGGAGATTTATTAAGTTACATAAATATCCATCATTATTTTACTCTTATTTAAATATTATTCAAAATTCAGTTCACATTTTATTGTAAAATAATCCTTATTAGTATTGTATAAGAGCTAATATAGAGTTTAAATCTTTGAATTCTTATTTCCTAGTTTCGGAAGTATTTAAAACCATCCTAAGCATACGATTTTCACGTCAAATAACTCTTATTTATCTTGCATTCATTGATGGAAATAATAAGTTAATACCTAAAATCCAATGAAATTAGGCAATTTGTTAAAATATATGCAACCTAATTTTAGTTTTAGTTAGTGTTAGTTGCGTCTATGCTATTCGTTACACTACCTCTGGGATTCGATCGGGGATGAAAATATAAAATATTCTCTCTATTTTCTTGTTTTTACTTGTAAATTTAAACAGAAGCTCGCTGATATATACTTTAATTTTGCGTATCTACAAGGCTGTTTATTATTAGGAATCTACTATTTAGTACCTTCCTTGAAACAAACAGTTTTACGCTCGGAAGACGATAAAACCATCATCTCGCTACAATGCTTGAAGCTCAAATACGGAATATTAATCACATGTAACTATGCAACTTTAGTTCGAAGTAATTTCAATTCGGAAGTTCCGACGACAAACCGATTATAGATTCCGCGTTTAATCATAGTTCCGTAGTAACAATTCACCGCAGTATTAGTTCCCGGTGAGCTGCTGGTAGGCTAATTTAATGCACAGTCATGCCCCAATGAGTCGGTGGCTCGGGTTTACGCAGTTTATTACCGAACCATTGGTAACTACGCGCCCGTACCGTTTCATATTACATCGAATTGTGCGCAATTCGCAAACATTCAAAAGAATAATAAAATAAAACGCGTCATTAACCTGGCACAATTGACTATTCAAAGATAATTTAACAACACCAATGCGATTTAATTGCTGAATGTAATATTGTTTATGTGTGTTAAAATAGTTATTTTAACGTTTTTGTATTACATAAAATGTTTTGCTTTTATAAGGTTGAAGTAATCAGTATTAAAATGTTTGTACTCATTCATTTGTAATTTTTGTAGAACAAAATATCATCATTAGTGTTTTTCAGTGAAATGTTTGTCAGAAAAATGTCGGCTCATATTTCTTTTGACTTTTTTTTTCATCGCTGACTAAAACATACTATGATTAAGTCATTCAATTATCAATTCCATGAATTATATCTCGTTCAATCGATTTCAAAGTATCAATTAATTCGCATTAGCTGTAACTAGCTTCTGTAGGATACAGACTAATTTAATGCATGATCATGCACCAATGAGTTGAACACATAGCTTCGTTAGTTTGCTCTTCGGATAGTTAATTACGTCGTATGGTGAGGAGCGGGTGTAGATTACATATGTCGTGATGCGGTCACGTAATGAATGGACATAGAATGGAGCAGACATAGATAGAATCTGTATTAAAAGCATTATAACGAGATTCTTTACATCAGTTTCGAGGATTTTCGTTAAAATAGTAGGTTTTGTGATATTTAAGTCAATAACAGTGAGTAGATCTAAATGTAATACTGAGAGGAGCTGAGAAAATTGAAGAACGTTTTGTCCACCCAAGTCATATACGTTGGGTTGCTGAAGTTTCCATTTCTTTTGTCATTACCTAGCGATTCATTAGCGTTAGTTTGACCTATGTTTCAACTGAGTAAAACTGAAGTAACGTAGTTCGGAAACTCATTTCATGAAATTATCAAACAAAAAACCAAGATAAGTACAAGACCAAGTATTTTGTACTTCTGGTCAAAGCTGAAGTACAATTTAATTACGAATATTTGAGAATTTAAATATCAACGAGTCCTAAACTCAGGTACATTTCCTTTTAAGAAGTTTTAATCGGCGAAACTTTTGGTTCGGTCGTTATTCCGAAAAGTGATGAAGACAACCTTCTCATTACGCAAAAACTTTTAATTAAAAAAAGGACGAACTCAATAAACTTGCGCGTAAAAGACAAATGATGACCGAGATGGACATTTTTCATGTTTAAATTTAAACAAAATTAAATATATTGATAAATCACTAGTTATTTTAATTTCAGAATAAACGGCTATATTATTATTATAAATATATTCATACCATTTGATACATGTGAAATTTCGTGACTTTCAATTTCTTTTTTTAACCTACATACTCATTTCTGATAGTTTTTTTTTAACTGAACACGTTAGATTTTTTAAAAATCTTGTTAACTTCATGTTTATTTTGCAAAATACAGCAGAAAGACTTTTGAACCTGCTTTTGGCATATTTGATATTTGGTTATATTAACCGTGTAGCCCGAGGCGATATGGGACCCTGAGTCACGATATGCAAAGGGAATATTTAATGAATAAAAATTACTTATTCCTTTTGTTAGCTAGAAAACAATAATTCGAAAACCAATTTACTTAATAAATGTAGTCACAGTAAAAAAACGTTGGAATTAGATTGTCAAATAATTTCTTAAGGTTATTACAAATTAGATTCCTAATACCACCGCAATGTAAGAACCAATTGTGTATCGTTTCAATCTATACATATAATAAAATAGCAGTGTCTGTTTGTAATGTAAAAGAAAAATGCTAGATTTCGGGAAGATGATGTATTTGCGTAACAGATATCGTATTTATTTTTTTTTGTCTGTCTATATGTCCGCAAGCCGCGTCTCTTCCAGGTAAACTGCGAAACGACTCGGCCGATTTTTACCGGACATTCATTGAATATTCATGTTCATAATTATATGATATTCATTCAGCTGACATAGACGGTCATATTATAGGCTACTTTTTTATCTTAATATTGCGTGGACGAAGTCCCGGCAACAGCTAGTAGTTAAAATAAAGGGATATCTGAGGTTTAATCGAAATTAATACCCGCCAAAATTAATAATCTTCATATAATTTACGCGCAAAACAATTTCCGTTTTAGATAATTGCTTATATTTTATTAACAGTATTAAAACAATTCTACATACATGTTAATTTAGTGGAAGCAAATGTGAGGTTAAATAATTCATAGCTTGATAAATTGTATAGCTCTAAAATTATATCAAACTAGCTTTCGCCCGCGACTCCATCCGCGTGGAACTTATCAAAAAACATTGTAAAATATAGCCTATGTTATTCACTGATAAATTACCTTTCTAACGGTGAAAGAATTTTTAATATAGGCCCAGTAGTTTTTAAACCTATTCATTACAATCAAAAAAAAATCCTCTTTGTTATATTACGAGCTGTTGCCCGCGACTTCGTCCGCGTGGTATTAGAAAACATACGAACTATATAAATGACAAAAAGCTACGTATCCCTCGGGAACCGGACATTTCTCGGGCATGAAGCTTATCCCATGTGTACTCCAGACTTTGTTTTATATCTGTGCCTAATTTCAATAAGATATGATGTACCGTTGCAGAATGATCGAGTAAACATTAAAAAACTAAATTAATGAATCCCACGGGAACCGTAACTATTCCCGGGATAAAAAGTAGCCTATGTGTTCTTCCAGACTATGCTCTAATCCTGTGCCTAATTTCATGCAGATCCGTTCAACCGTTTAGGCTACAAACGCTAACAAACATCCATCCATCCATCCATCTAAACTTTCGCATTTATAATATTAGTAAGACTATAGATTTATTATTTACATAATCATGTAATAATCTCTTCTTAATTTAAAAACAGCAAGAATATTTGTTCACATGATCATCGCTAAGGTTGAACATCATTCATCAGATCCTGACTATACAGTGAAGTTACGCGTAGTCTTTTGTTGAAGAGATCTAACGCCTGAGTCAAGTCAGTGAATGAACTTGTAAAGTGTAATACTCGTTCACTCATTCCGTTCACAATGCTCATATAGCAATTACTAACGCCTTTCTCGTAAGCCTCAAAGGCTAACACTGTGAAAGTCATTGTTTTGTTTTACTTTGACATCAAAACAATCAAAGGATACTTTTAGTACAACGGCTTGTATGAAAGTAAATGAAATGAAACGCATATTTACAATAACAAAGAGATCTTTAATAATATTGACAATTATTTTCATCTGCAGAGTTATTAATTTACTAGCTGTTTCCGTGCGGCTTCATCCGCTTTAAATTCCAAAGACTTTTCATTTGTCAAATTTTCAAATACAAATGTCAAAATTACCATTACCATAATAACCTTGTTTATGCTTCCTCTACCTTTGTAGCCATCCATATTCAATATTAACACTTTCTGGTTTATGTCCCCATCGTCTCGTCGCATAACATGTCCATACTACGCTAACCTAGTTAAGAATAGCTATGATCTATTATAATACATTGCTACTATATTGTAAGCCCGCGTTATGATATATCCACCCATAGTGAGGTGCAACATCTGTGTATACTAGATAAAATTTAGGATCGCACTGAGTATGTCCTGGTGATACACCACATTTGGAGACAATCCCCCGCAGGAACCAACTGACCGAGAAGTCTGATTGCACCGTAGCTACCACTAGACCACCGCCGCTATCTCCGTTACGAGGATTCACGTCTGAAACAAATGTAATTATTATTATAAAATAAGTTTGTTTTTCCTTCGCTTAATTATAGCGTAAATATAAAATGAATAGTGTTGACTCGATTCACTTTAATACTACCAGGGATAAAAATTAGACCTCTAGGAAGCACAATGGTTCTGACCAGACCTGGAAACGCGGAATTATTGTATCGCTTCTATTTGGTTGTAGCATTGTACAGGGCGAAATGGCTAATTGCAATTTATGGTCAACATATGTTTCTGTTGTTGGCGTCTACCACTGTTAAAAAGTTAAAAGGCGCAATGTACAGCGAACAATGTAATACAGCATACTGAGAGGTCACCCTTTATGCAATCCATTCGTCTACCCCCACACAAATTGAGTATTATACTCCAAGCTGTCTTAAAAAAAATTCTTACTAGAAGAAGGTCCGTATCCTGCGCAGAATGTAAACTCATTAAGAAGACTGGTGTACAATTTAGGAGAGTACGCAATGCATGTGAAGTCATTCTGCACAATGGTGTAAGCGGATCTGAGGGTATCGGAAAGCTTGTTATCCTCCGTTGTGCCGAATCCGACAACCTGTAAATTGAAATAATAGAATTTAAAATGAGCATTTTAAAAATAGAGCAGGAAATTATGTTTTCATTTATATAGACACTTTAAATTAGTGCAACAATGAAACAGCAGTAATTCAAAATGAAAAACATAAACAAAACATGTTCAATAGCTTTGTAAGAATACAAATTACAATAGCTTCCTTTCCGAACAGCGACGATTTATCATAGACTGGTCCCCAGATGCAAACAGGTTGCACATATTCCGTGAATCGGAAACTTGTAACTTTTATGATGGCCAAGTCTGCGGTGGCTTGCACGTCACTGAACGCCGGATGAAGTATTACTTGTACAGCCTGAAATATGAATAGATTTGTTGTCTGTAGTTTTATATTTAGAATACCAACGTATCGAATCTAATTCCAATAAATCTTCAAGAAATGTTCCTATAATTTTTATTCATAAGAGACTGGTAACTCATTTTTAAATTCTCCTCTGTAATTAATCTGCAAATTATTACTTAAGTTAAAGCTAGTGATGGGTATAAATCGTTTGTTATTGCATGAACCATTTGCAAACATCTTTCATTAACTGAAACAAGACAAACAATTTTGTGTAATCAAAGTTCTTTACAAATAATTTATACATAGCTTACGTTATGCACTTGACGACCCGATTGCTTTAAATCAGTTAAGTTACTTATTCCAACTAATATTGTTATTCTCCATGCATCTACGTTGATACCATTTTTGCTTACGCAATGTCCAGCTAAAAAAAAATTCAGTCTTAAGAGCAGAAGAGCACAAACGAGCAGATGGCCTAACGATCGTGGACATCCGTAATAATAGTATGTTGCCGGCATTGAGCGCAGCGAAAGTTGTTATTTATTTGGCATTAAGGAATTTATAGCAATTGTTTACCATAAATTACAGTATCAGTTTTAGTAATACCTGTTAAAACAGCAGTAGTAGATATAATGTTACCACCACACTGATATCTGTCGATGTTGGTAATACGTTCTTTGACCACGATCGCAGCGTGCCAGGGCCAGTCGCCAGCCCTAGCGATGGTCCTAACCGATGTCAGTTCCGTGTGGTCTAAACTTCGTCTACCGCATACATGCCGATATTTCGTATCATTCAATTTTGTTACGTTGAATTTATTTACGTTTTGTGAATCCTTGGAATTAATAAAAATACGTGAACTTTATTTTCTATGAGAGATATAATGTATGAGTATTTTATGAAGACAGCATCTTGTAGCTGCTAATAATAAAACATTTACCTTGATTGTATCGTCACATAAGGTACGATTGTTTATACTAAATCTTTTTACAATAGGAACATCTACACCTGTCTCTATTACGGCTATGTAAAATACATAAACTTTTGGCACATTGGACGGAATTTTTATATTATAATCTCGATCGTTATTTTTCACACTCAATGTAGTATTTTGGGTAGCCTGAAAAACAATATGCTATTTAGTACAAAAGCCATTTTAAAACTTAACTCACTTCTTTTCAACATTTTAATTTAGATAATTATCAGCTTACCTCAAATAGCGCTATTCGTTTTTCGAAATCAATTTGTATTTCAATTCCATTTAATCCATTAGTATTCAATATTCCTAAATTTAAAACACCTTGCCAAACTTTATCTTTTAATTTATCAAAATGTATCATACCAAGGCCACAAGGATCATATCTGGTAATACGAGGACCTTTTAAAGACATCGAATTGACCCCAAATAAAAACAAAACACACACGATGCACAATCCTTGGGTAAACATTATTAAAAAAAAGAATAATTAACTTAATAGATTTCTTAGTAATAAAACAAGCGTTAATTTTTATATGCTTCGACACAATAATTACTACAAATAAGTAATATGACCAATACTAAATTATAATCATATTTGAATGGACAAAACTGTGCACTACACAAAATATTCTTTATACAGAGTGTTGCTAAATGCAAATCGTTCTATGATTATTGATGACTTACTACCGATGCCGTTATTTATATAATTGTTAAAAATGATTCATGACTTACTTTGCTTTGTTATGTGACAAAGTTAATGTATAATTACGATTTACTGTTACATTAAACTAACAAAAACAATATTATGTTCACGTTACCTACTGACCTAAACTTCATATGATTCAGAATTACGATGTTTATACATTTTTGTGAATTAAAAATATGCAAGCACGGTAAAAAATAATAAATTAAAAGAAACTTGCAGATAATGTTGAGTAATTTATTCCAAAATTTTAGAAAAAGATTCCACTTCGATTTCCATGTACTTTATAGCATAAGTATATTTATATAACCAAAAAGAAAAATGACTAATCATCTTACTAATATTATAAATGCGAAAGTTTAGATGGATGGATGGATGTTAGAGTTTGTAGCCTGTTTAGGCTGTTGAAGAGATCTCGATGAAATTTGGAATAGATGTAGGGGATAGTCTGGAAGACTTTAAGAAGAGGCTACTTACTTTTGTTTTTTTTATTATTCCACGCGGATAGAATTGCGGGCGAAAGCTAGTTTTAAATAAAGTTTTGAATTTAAAGAAATTGCAACATACTGTATAGCAATATCGCGACCTGTCTGTTAGCATGCTGACCCGTGTTCGTTGAAACAGACCGTAATATGATAAACGTGATTGTTATTCGTAACATTTTTGCTTGTTTTTGTCTTCACAATTAAAATATCTTATCTGTGTTTGGAACTTATATGTCATATTATCAATACACTGTTTAGAGTGAGCAAATGAAAATCGTAACAATATAGAAGTACGCAACAAATAAGCAAAGAGAATAGAAAAAAGTGACGTAAATCTGCCACACAAAGCAATAAAGCTAAAAGCGTGTGAAGACAAAATGTATTTGCATGGGTAAATAGTTAACGCACCATTCGTCCTACAATGCTGGTAGCAAATGAATTGCCGTGATTTAATGGCGATAAATTTGCTAAGGTTGTTTCAGCAATTGCTTACTCTAGGAGACTTTAACGTTCCTTTTGCGTGCGAAAAAATCACGTATGTGTGGTTAACTAATTGGTGTGAAAAATATTGCATTGAAAAACTAAACGGCCGTTTGTTCAGGATTTTTTTTTCGGTAAATTCGTTCGTTCGAAACAATAGGAAAATAGTCGTATGGTTGGAGACGATTTTATTTTCGCATTGAATTTCCCGAACTTAAAATAAAATCTTAAGATTTATCAAACATTTATTATTATTAAAAAACAAGCATTCAAAATTTCGTCAGCTTATTACATTTTTTGTTTAACTCATAAAATTATTTCCCTTCAACAAAGTTATTCTTGCCTATAAAAAAGTTTGTACGTTAGAAGTCAAAGCATACCGAAAGTACCAATTTAGGGGCCAAAATTAACACAATACTTTCAACGATTGCAGGTATGCTTGAAATTTCAACTTTACAAAGCTGTGTAAACCTTTGTTTATGTATAAAAATGTGAGGGAGATGCGACAGTATTTGTACAAAGGGACTTTTGGAGCATGGCATTAAAATTGTATTAAAAAAATATTTAAGACCTGAATATGGGAACGTTTTATGTTCTTACTCTTATTTGAACAGTCTACATTACATAATTTTCAATCTGTTACATACGATCTGTTGAACAGATTCAGTTCTAACGTGTAGGAATAACTTTCAACAGTTCAACTGATAGGGCGTATGCAGCAGGTTTTACATTATCAATCTAAAACTGATTGATAACTTATAAAAAAATCATAAAATAGTTTGATTACATTTCGGTGTTAAACAAAAATAATCATCTGTCAATGATGGCAACATTCGGAGATTTTAAAAACGGAATTTCATCATATAGTTCCCATTCACTTCAGAGTACATTCTGGAGAGTGCGTGGTTTACAAACTAAAACACAGACACTAGTTACTAACCGAGAGCATCCAAGAGTAGAATGAACAAATATATAAGCTAGCGCGAATGTTTCGACCACAGTTAACATAAAAAAAATTAAAAGCATATTATTTACAACATCTCCACATTCAGTATGAAATACAGTTAGTACGTAATACATAACAAGTAAATAGAACGGGAATGCTTCCGACAGCTGATGCACTAGATATTAACATGGTAACGCAACACTCCGGCGTGCAATTAGCTCCATTGATATTCAAGTATCATCTGCATTAAGTGAATTAGCTCAGTACATTACATAGAGAGCACTTCTACGGACTAACGATGTTTAGCTAATGCTTACCATCTACAATGCTTGATTTAAAGTTTAGGATAATAGAAAGGTAATCTACAAATTGCCTATTAAAGTAATAGAAATAAAACTTTTTTTTTATTAATACAAACTAATGTTCTCATGTGTTAATGTCCCGTCTATTTAAATTTGACAGTTATTATTCTGTAAAATTATTTTTTTTGTTTAATATAATTAATTATATTAAACAAAAAAAAGATACCTACTTGGTAATGTATTTAATGGCAAATCTTTTATTTGTTGAATATAACAGTAGTAAAGTAGTACTAAAGAATTATATAAATTTAGAATATGTTGGTTATTTTTAGCAACATAATATTATCCTAGGTACCAAGGTTACTGCTCCAGCAATAGCAGTAGGTGCTATTAGGGCCCCTGCGGGGGTACAAGTTTAGAAAAAAAGATATTTATGTACAGAAATTAAGTAGACTTTTAACAATGTAACGCGTTATTACGTCATACACTATGCCACAAACGGCGAAATATTGAAACGATATATAAATAAGTTAAGGCATCTTAAATGATAATGCCACGCTAAAACTTTAAATTCTTTTATAATTGTAACGTCTAACAGACTTTATCATCGCTTACGAAGTGATCTCGGTCATAAAATCGTAATAAGTGTATTTCCATGTCGATAAACAGAATTTCATACATGTCTCTTAACAATTTCATTCCTCGTACATAATTGAGCACTGGCTCTCGGCAGGCTGCTCTATTGATAGAACTCAGCTAATCGCGTAGAAATGTCTTAAGTCTTAGAATCTGGTTAGAAATATCCAAGAAACTGTGACGTCACACGGTGTGCGCAGCAGACTGATTTGTGGGAGTCTACGCGAGCTCACTGATTTATTGGTCTGCGGCCAGAATGTATCGCTTACCTGCGATTCACTGCATTCTTGGCATCGTACTTGCTCCGTACACAATCAATGTAATGTTACAATCAGCTACGTTTTAAAAACCTTAATATAGGTAAGTTAATTATTTTAGCTATGCATAAACTCGTATCTTCGTGGATAAAATAGCAACATATAGTTGCAAAAGTAAATTGAAAACATTAAAAATGATAACTAATCAACAATCGGTAATTGCAATAATTACTTTTTGCGGTTTTCGAATATTCGAATAACAATATTTTTCGGATTAATGACGCCTGCACGAACACGAGTTTCGCTGTGGTCAAATTGTTTCGTGATAATAGTGTGGTCCAGGTTTAATTGTTACTATATTTTCATAATTTGTTTTAAAGCTAGATGATGTTTAAATCCTAAAAATACTATTATATTTGAAATTTTAAAAACCTAGTTTAGTCGTCTGTCAGATTGTAAGCGGCGCTTACTAAGAAGTTAAGTAAGAAATATAAAAGATGCGTTGCACTATTAGGCCGACCTAACTACAAATTACGACCATGAATGTATCTATATTTCCTATGATAAAAATATACAAAAAGTATGTTTTTAATAAATAAAAACGTAAGATTTTAATGTTTAGAATCGGTTTAGAATTAATCTAGAAATATGAAAATTCTCAACAATCCAGATTCATTATCGCTTATCCGCTTTAGAGTTGGCGCTTTGCAAATATTTATTGCCGGAGATGCAAAGACGAGGATTAGCCACCGCTCCTTAGGGACGCTTCTGTTGCTCTTACTTTCTTACATGACAAAGACAAAACTTCCCCGAGTGTCGACTACAATACATTTCTGCTTAATTTAGCCATTGCTTACTGCTCTACAAATCCCCATTGTATTTGTTCTGTAAAGTAATTACCTTCATTCGATTTATTAATCTTCTTTCCTTTAAATTATTTTATTACAAAAGATCTTATATCTGTGTATATTCCCTTCTACGGAGATCAACTCTTGTTACTATCTTTTAAATACCAGCACCATAAATAATATGAAATCACGCTTAAACTTTTAATTAAAGTCAAGTGTTTAATATTCTGTACATAATTCAGTCGTAAATACCGTTACAAGAATATGAAAAAGCCGGCAACGCATCTGTAGTTTCTTTGGTGTTGTGGATGTCAATGGGCATCGTTGACCACCTTGGTGTTTATGTCGCTCGTTTGCCCCCTTTTGTTTAAAAAAATGCATAGAGTTAAATAGTACAGTGAATTCGTAATTAAGAAGTCTTAAAGTTAAAAAATATTTTTGTAAATAACCATAAAGAAAACATAACAAAGCGTAAATGTACACTACTTCGTGGTGTAATATGTCAACAGCATATTTTTGAATGTTTTTCTTGCTTCAATAAAAACTTACACTTACAATAAGCTTTAGGCTATATGCTTTCACGCTATTAAACTTAGAGGGTTTCAAATTGGAAAAAATCTTCATGTGGGAATGGGACGATAAACTACAAGCTTCCAACATCAAGGAAGCAAGATTGCCATAGTACTATTGGTATCCAATATCAAAGGTCTTCCTTGTCATTTGCGCTTTAAATTTTGATATATGTAATTGAGAATTTGACAAATTAGACAACAAAATAAATTAAAAGGATTTATAATTTCATGTGGATGAAGCTGCTGAGGGAACAGCTGGTAAAAAATAAAATGTCTTAATTGTGATCGTGTGTGAGTCGCATTCATACTTGCAAATTAAAGTCTATTAACTAGTGACGGA